GATCAGCAAATGAGGTTTCTTTTTCTTGTGCCTTCTGGAACCTGATCTTATACAGTATTCCTCTCCTTCTACTGACTAGAAGAGGAGACAAAGGTCCCAAATAAAAGGGTGGGTTGTCTTCCTGGCCTTTGATAGTCTGTATGACCATAGCTGATGGCCGATGTGTGAAGTAGCTCCCAGACTGAAGTAGTCTGTCTTTCCCCACTAATTGTCGAAAAGCCATGATAGCCTAGCCTCCTAATTTAAGCAGCCATCTTAGATGTCTAAAGCTCGATTGAGCAAATACTCATAATAATGGAACTTAATTATCTTAATTACATGATGAAAATAATAATTGACATCAAAAGTAGTTGGGTAAAACCTGCTCTTAGAAAGTCTGATCAATGCATAAAATTGCTTTCTTGCAAATGTGTACACACACACATCTTTTTATATTATTTTTTTTGTGATGTTAGAAACTTTATTATATTTAAGAAGCAGATGAAAGAATTTGCATTTTGAGGTTTATTTTATTCCCACATCTGTTTTACCTTTTTCACTAGATACTTTCTTCCTTTGTTGTTGTTGTTTTTTTCCCATTTTAAAAGCACTCTCTGATTACAATAGAATTTTATGAAAGGGTTTAGAGAAAACATAAGTGTTGATGAAATAGGGAAACTTGTAAAAATCAGATTTTGAAAGAAAAGAGATTCTTTAGTCAGAATGATTTAAAAATGGATAGAAAATAAAATCATCCTGGTATAAAAATGCGTTGTTATAAGAAAAACAGGTTATTTTATTCAAAGTAATTATATAATAAGGTAGATAAATATACATTCAAATCACTGTTATAGACCACTTGTCAGACAGACAGACTTTCTCAATTCATTTGTTGACGTAGCCTACATAGCCCTTCTCCCCCACCCCGACCTGACACAAGCCTAATTAAAATCCAAGGTGTAATACAGTAGTTGGTATAATACATTCACCTGCTAGTTTCTGTCAAAATGTATACTGGGTAAATGATTTGAGACAAAAAGACATGAACACATTTCAGCTAGCAGGACATTTTGGAACTTTACCGTTCAGAAATGTCTGCATACTAGCAATTTGTGGTGATGCTTGCATAGCTGGCATATGTTTGTATAGCTTACAGGTGTGAACCCCTGTTTAAATGTATATTCTCTGAACTGTGTATTTTGAAAATCTGTCAGAAAATTGGCCCTCTTAACACATCATTTTAAAATCTGTACTCAGCCTTCAATATTGCTTAAATCTCAGTGGGTCTTAAACTTCTGCTTAAATGCTGTTCTTAAGAGAAATTTTCCTGAGGAATTCATTTTCTAAAATATGGCCTATAAAGGCTCTGCAAATCAGCAAAGCATCTTTGTCTTCCTATTTCAAGAATCTCAGATCAATTATAAAAAAATACCAATTTTGAAAAGTTCTTCAGATTGAGCTATTTTTCTGTCATGCATGTGGTTGTCAGTCTCATTTCCGGCTGGCAGTTTGAAAACCAACCTGCCGAAGCAGCTATCTTTGTCATAAATTTAACATGACAGCTTCTCAGCAGGGCTTTCAATTAGGATCCTAAAAAAAAAAAATTAAAAAAATTAGAAAGATTGAAAGTGTCAGTCCAAATGCGATGAGCAAATGCTATTTTATGGGAGACCCGTATATACTTGTTTTTGTTAGACTCCATGATGATCAGGAACCTGCAATGCCAATTGAATAAAAAACTCTGTGTAAAACAAAACAAAACAGAAATGTAAACATAAACAAAAATAAACTAGTTACAGTGATATAAAAATGCCTCCACATTCCCACTGGTAATGCGGACGTGGTTTTGCCATCACAGAAGATTCGCGCACTGGGTGTCATGAAGCACAAGCAGCCAGTTGGCATTTCCTGCAGAGCTGAGGGATGCGGATGCAAGGTAGAGGAGTGGATCTGCGTAATTACTCAAATAATCAGGTTTCTTTCACTTAAAATTTTGTACACGTGATGGAGAAATTTTAAGGTAAACTAGTTTCAATGGAAACTGAAAGCTTTTATTACAAAGCGAGGGAAACCCATGTGCCTAGAAAGAGGTGACAACCTCAGCTGTGACTAAAGCTTTCTGTGCCTCAAGTGTAAGCTGTTCAACAGTGCTGGCAGGACAATTTGGTCAGCTTGTCATAGCTGCAGCCCCTGGCAGCTCTCCTCCTGCAGCTGCCTCCCAGGAAACCCTCCCTGGTTTTAAGTCATAGACGATCATGTCTGGCCCTATATCAGGATTGCCACCACTGCCTGTATCCGTCTTCGTAAATTTTATCACCCACACTCTGGAACTGAGGGGGTTTTCTTGTGAAGCGGAGAGAAAAGTTATAATTAAATTTCCAACTTGCGAAATGGTAAAAATAACCTTGAAGAAGTCACTAAATCTAAATTGATTCATCATTTTCTGCCTGAATCTTCAGAAAGCCTTAAATGACACACTTGGCAGGTGTGAATGGGAATGCATGAGCCCTCGCGTCTGGATGAATGGAGGCCAGTTTCTGAAATCTCGTTGACTTTAGATTCATCACTGTATGAATCTGGAGAACTGATGAAAACCTGATGAAAAACTGATGATAGGGGCAAATGGTGAACGTACAAAGGAAGCCAAACAGCACCCCACAGTGCACAAACCACACACTCTTTGGTTATGTACCATGCTGACATTCCTCATTCACTTGCTTTCTTTCACCTGTAGTACAGTTGTAACTGTGGCAGCTTAACCAGCTATGTGCTAAATTGGTTTAAGACACTCTTTTCTTTCTATTGCTATTAACTATAGGCGAGCAGCAACTGAGAAGCGGCTGCAATTACAGAAATGGCTGAAGTTCAAAAGTTTGTTGGAATTTCTCTACATTGTAATTATGCCAGAATCCCAGTGAGAGTTATGTCATGAGTATTTTGCCAAAAAAGGATTTTTAGCAAAAAGTTTTTACACACCATTCAGGATGGAATAATTTGAGGGGGGCTGAAACTGATGGTAACTTACAACCAGCAGATCCTTATTTTTTTTTTTTTGTGGTAGAAAGAGTTATTATGGAAATGTACTTATAAGCTCTCCGCTGCTCTACACTTGTAAGGTCTACTTTACCCAATCATCCCAGCCATGCTTTTCCACCCTCATTAACCTAGGCTTCGAGCCAGTTAAGAATGCCTTAAAAAGCTCCCTTGAGTTGCTCTCTGGAACAGACAAAGCCAATTACAAATGCTGTTCAACAACTTTGCCACCCTCATATATAGCAAGTGTGTGCCTGAAGAGAGGAAAAGGCTCTCCGTTAGCATTTCCCACTGTTTATTCCCAAGTGAGTTTGGCACATTTCAGGGTGAAACAGCCCTTCCATTAGTAACATGTCAGCACTCAGAGGTGCTTCATGAAACCTGTAGCTCATTGCAATGGAAGCATATTTTTTACATTTAGAAAGTGCTCTTGTCTGCTTTAGTGTTAGCAAGTCAGTCTCTCTTTTCTTCATCAGTATGGACTTGTTTCTCATTAAAAATATATAAATAAAGGGCTGTGCCTGTCCACAGGTATCTCCCCTCCCCTCTGTTTGACAAGATGAAAGCTTACAGCTAGATGGTGTGATTTCTCTAATAATACTCTATTTGCTTTCTCACTGCTGGTATCCTGAGGATCTAAAAAGAGAAATGCTGCATGAAAAAACTGACTGATGCACCATGAATTTTGCTAAAAAGTGCTTTGTTAAGCCATGCATAAATACCTATTGTACATCTATCTGAAGGAAGGGTGCGAGATAGCACACTAACACTACTATCAGATTGCCATTTTGGATTCAGTTAACTTGTGTTAAAGTTTTCCTGCTGTTCCACACCTCATCTTCAGCTGTTCATCACCCTTTCCCTGAAATTACCAGCCTCTCAGATCTGTCAGTGTAACTGCATGTGTAGCTTCCCCATAAGCCAGTTTTGCTAAAATGAGCTGTGTTAGATAACCCATACTATTAGAAGTGTTTTAGCTGTTGGATTCATTTAGACAGAACTGGGTTAGAAGCAATTACACATGCCATTATTTGACAGTTTGGAGAAGACTGTAACCTCCAGTAGGGATGAAAGGGGCAGTTGGGTCAGCAGAAAGAAGAGCGATAGCCTCTTAATGTGACATAGTTGCTGCCCAAGTAGCCTTACTTAACATCAAGGACCCCATGTGGGCAGTAGCATTTGTTAATACTGAGAAATTAATATAATTATGATACCTGGAAAATGGACAAACAGTCCAAAAATGGTACTCTTCTACCTGCAACTTCTTAAAAGTGGCAGGATCAGACTTGCAGTTAAGCTCATGACTTTCTATTATGTTAGGAAAACAATTTTTTTGTCAATCTGGGTCTTGATTCTGGAGCAGTCAATGGCTGAAACCATAGCAGGTTACCTTCTTGTTCATTAGAGAAAATAGTTGTCATGAGGGTTTTACTAAATACTAAAATTATGGGAGTCAACTAAAATGAGGTGAATTGCAGCTAGTCACAGCATGTTATACATGTAAAACTTTGACTGAGAGTGTGTGTGACAGTGAGATTGGAAGAGGTGTCATAAGAGATGCATTTTCCCCCATTCCTAACAACCTTTTAGTATGTGAATTAAAAAGTGTCCGTATTTCCACATATGACATTATTTTCAAATTTGAACATAGGAAGGGGTTTTGGTGTCATCTGGTAGAAGAACAAAAAAATCACAGAAGAGTGTGAAGACTGCAAATATTTATTGATGAACTGAGAGGTAATCTTTAAAAATAATAATAATAATAAAGTTTTAAACTTCAGTATTTAGGGCATTGGAGCATTACTGTAGACTGAGGATACTATTATAGATGCAATTAGTCTAGCAAAAGTCTGAATGTATTTTAAAAATAAACCTGATTTTTAATGCAAGGTTGTAATTGCACTTTTAACTTGATGAAGCTTTAATGAACAGTTACATGAAGGTGAACATTTTTCCTAATTATTATTATTATTATTTTTAATTTTGTCAGTCAGATCCTTTTCATCAAGCTATGACAGAGATGTCCAAGCTGCTGCACAGATGAGGGCAATCTCCCCCATCGTGGCTGAGACAGGAGCTACAGAAGGTGAGATGGCACTGAACATGGGAAATAAATGAAGTGTTCTTGTCACATGGGAAACTCATACAGCCTAAAAGTAAATATAAAACTGAAAACTAAATCATTAGGTGCAGACACTTGGAAGCATATTACCATTTCCTTGTTTACCTAGACTCTTATATAATTAGTTTAGTTGCTGTAAACTTCTCTCAAGGGAATAAATTACTGAAGGGAAAAAACAACAACAACAACAAACTTAAACACTGCATTTAGTGAGGTAAAAAGAGCTGACCTTAAAAGAACTGCACTGAAACCTTGTCTTAGACTTACTGAGTGGAACATCTGGCTGTGTGATCCAGTGACGAGCAGCATTTTGGGGTGTATGTTGAAATGTATATGCTTTAGTGGGTTCAGGAACTATTTCGTGGTCTGACAGCAGTAGAAAAAGTAAAACGAAAACAACAAAAAAAAACCTGCTTTTGGGAGGGCTGAGTTTGTTTGTATTTCTGTGTATTACATTTTGTAGATGTGTCTGAGTTTGGTGAACAGATGTGTTTTTATAAACCTAAATAAACAACCAAGAGAGCACATAAACACCTGGGATAGTTAGCAGACGGGTGGTCATCTGTTTGAGCCTTCAATTGCATTTTCCTCTATAATTAGTTGTGTAATTGCTTTTCCACAGTTGCAGCTAATGTATTTACACATGTAATTAATTATACTTAAAAAAATAATAATAAACAACCATTTTCAGTTGTTTGTTCTTTTTTCTTCATTTGCGGAATGTCAGACTATCACACTACTCAACTGTTTTATTTATGGACTACATTATGACTCCATTCTGGTTATGTCTGTAGAAGGACATATGATACCTAATTGTTTCTCAGGCTAAATAAGGAATTACAGGAAATCAATTGTAACTAAGTTAAATATTGCGAGCAGTAGTAGGCAGGGCAGGAATACCTTGAGAGCATGGCTAAGGGGAGCAATGGGCTAGCCATGATTTTTATTATTTATTATATATTTTTTTTTAATCAAGAAATGGTCTCATTGACTATTAACAGTGCCTTTCTGCAAGCTGAATTTGAAGAAGGAGCTTAGCCTTACTAACTATGTGAGATGCTTGGCAGACTTCTGGTGGTAGGCAAAATTTTGACATTTGCTTCTGAGAGAATTCTGCTGTTATGTGTTTAAAGAGCTGCTCTACCAATGTGCTTTTCTCTGCCATGTGTGGGGTAGATGAGAGTGGCTGCAGGACTGTGGCTGTGTGACGGGGTCGTCACTCCTTGCCTGGTCCCCAGGTGCACACACTTGTGTTTCTGAAGTCATGGCCACTTGGGCCTCTGGCCAAGCTGCTCTTTGAACTCTTCTGGAGTCTTCAGCTCTCAGCTGTATTTAAAGCTCTGCTTGTGCTCAACTCCAGAATCCCTGTGTCTGTGCCCTTTCCTGCTTCCTACCTATTGCAAAATCTGGATATCACTCATTATACACTTCCTACATTTGCTCCTATTTCCTCTTTTGTCAGTGACCTGTGAAGCCACCACAAATCCCACCTTCCTTTCCTTTTTTTTTAGGATATGCTGTCCTGTGGCCAGCACTTCCAACTGTACCAGGACAAAGGAGAGAAGCTGGGTAAGCTGCTATGCTGTTACTCAAGCTGCAGACTAAAATAAAAGGCAAATAAAAGAGAAAAACATCACTAACAATTCTTGCTACTCTGTCCAATATTAATGTAACATGAAAAGAACCGTTTTCTTTAGAAGACCACTTAAAAAGTTGAATGTTCTCTCAAAAATTAACTGAACTTCAGGAAAAAGTCACATTTTACATATTTTGTTTTTGTTTTTAAAGTGATAAGTCACATTCAATCTGTGCTATAGTCACTGGAGAGTTTGACTGAAAAAAGAAGACTGAAAGAGGGACTGTCATAATAATTAAAAAATATTCATGGTTGCTGAATGGATTCTAGAATGAATGGCACAACACTGTAAAGTCAACTGCACCCTCCTGAAATCATCTGGCAGTAAGTAGTATTAAGAATGTTGTGTTTGATGTAAAAGATTAAAAATTCACTGTATAGGAAATAGAACTACTAAGGTTGCTGGCTGAAGATCTTAAGACATAAAAGGTATTAGATTACCTGCTATTCTTTGCTTTAATCTAACATATAAATGTTTTATTGTGGTCAAACTCAACTCTTGGATTCAAAGTCACTATCAAACAAATCAGACGTATCAAACAAAAGCACTTCATCAAAACAAACAAACAAAAAAAAACCAACTCTTTGAATAGATAGTGGGAGTTTCATAGGGCACTTCTGCATGGATCGGTGTGATGCTGTGTCCAGAAAGCGACACAACCCGTTCAGATCCTTAGGGATCTGTGACAGAGCCAGTGCTCCTTCTGCAGGAGGGTTTAAAAAAAAAAAGTTCAGAAATAAAACTGACAGGACTAACTCAATGAACTAAAATAAAAATGAACTAAAATAAAATAAAAATGAGAACTGAAACACCACCCAGTTATTCTCCTGGACCTCTCGAAATAAAGAGTACTTTAAACATTGTAATGCTAGTTCACTGCTCATTAATTCTGTAACTTTAATGACACACTAAGGGTGAACAGGGATATTTTGCAGTGCTTAGCAGACATATCAGAGGATCAACACTCACAGACTGAGTTTGTTAATTATAGTATAGTTATTTTTACAGTTAATTTTCTGTAGTTTTAAAATGTGATACCTATATAAAATTAAAGAATATAAAAGAATATAAAATCGAGATTTTATATTCTTTTTAAAACTATTTAGTGATAGTTAAGAGTTAACTCTGAAGGCTGTTATTATCTATAGATATATCCCATTAACACCTGAAGACTGCTAAAACATTAGTTTCCCTAATATGTTGCAATAGTTGGATGAAAACTGCCACAAGGATAGAAGCAAAAAGGAGAACCTTTAGGAACTTTAAGAACTTGGGAAGGATTGTGGTACATACTTAACTTACAGTGACAGTGGAAAATAATATTTCATTAGAGAAAATATAACTAGATTTTAGCACCCAAAAAAACCTAAACCAAACCAAACCAAACCAAACCAAAAACAAACAAATAAACAAACAAAAAAAAATTGTGGTAATTTCAAAAAAAAATTACTACATTAGAAAAGCCACATCAATTAGAAAAAAGGGAATAAATGGAGGAAACAGAATAAGGTGACTACAAAGAGATACTGACTTTGCAAACTCTGAAACAGCCCCCAGCTAAGCAGTGAAATGATAATAAATATGCTAATACTCATTTCAGTACTATGGAAAAGACAGAGCTGAATTCATTTGGCCAAACAAACACAGGTGTCTAGTGCCAAGGGAGATGCCCTGGAGTAGTAGATCAGTGAGCTGCCACTGGGGGGCAGGATGGGCATTTGATCTTGGGTACCAACCCCAGGGGCTCTGTCCCTGGCAGGGCTGGGGCTTGTGATTTGGGAAGGGAGTCCAGCTCCAGGCAGAGCTGGCAACTTCCTCCTATCACTGGTGGAGGCAGAAGCCTGCCAGCACAAGAGATGATCCAAGGTCATTTTGTCTGTTTTGTTTGTTTGTTATCTGTATACCTGTAACCAGCACTTGGTCATGTTAAAGCAAGTACACTGCAGTAAGCAGCTGTGATTCACATAGATAAAATGCTGAATGATTTTCTGCAGAAATTTCTGCTCTTGATTACTTCAAGCTGATGTGAAATCAAATGAAAGAAGTTGATTCTGTCCTGAACATTTTACTTGCAGCCATTTGGTGATGATACTCATTAATCAAGGTAAAACTCATTGTATTGCTTCATTTCTGTCATTATAGGGAAATGGTACTTTGCTTCAGATCCAAAGGGTGGCATAATTTTATCTTCTGTATGACAGATTCTCTTCTGCATGTAATTGCTTCCTTATGTCATTCACCATTAAACTATGTGTATTTTATTTTCCTCTTTCTCTTTTCTCTTTTTTAACTAGCTATTTAATGTGGTCTTCCAGTTTATTGTAAATGACCTATACAATATATGTAAATTACCTTCTGCAGTTTGTAAGCTTATTTTATATACCAACTTAGTATTGTGAAACATCACACTGTTAAAATAGGGCTGGCAGTTTTCAGGGTATTAATCTGTTGCCACAATAGAATAAATCTGAAAATATTTGATAGGATAAAACTTTGTTCTTTCATCCCATTTCCAACTATAAGATTCCAAAATGCTCTCAGCTATAGCTGTTTTCAGCATGGACTCCCAGGCATCTTCATTCCAATCTCTGAGGTGGGGGAACCACAGGAGTGCAGAGAAGAATTGTCTGAAGCCATTGAAAAAAGTCTGACAAAACTCAGTGTAGAATGTTCTGAGCTTAATGATAAAAGGGTTTTCCTCACTAAAGGCAACTGTCAGGGGACTGACAAGGGGGGCAGAGGGATAGGAAAAGTTCATGGATGTGGGGTGTTTAATTGAGTGTTTAATTGATAGAAAGTCGAAATTCTGTAACCAGACTCCTATGAAGACATATTTAGTGTATTTAGTGTATTTAAACCTTGTAATAGTTCCAAAAACATTTAAACTACTAAATTAAAAAAGAAAACAAAGCTTTAGAAAACTGTTTTTTGTTGTTGTTTTTGTTGTTTTTGTTTGTTTGTTTGTTGTTTTTTGTTGTGTGTGTGTGGTTTTTCTTTTTCTTGTTTTTTGTTCTCCCTATACTGTTTCAGCTTCCAGAGGTTTAAGTGGAGAATATGGGACAAGTTGAGGGGGATGAGAGAATTCAGCCATGATCTTGTTTTAAGTATGTGTTACTTTGAAGATGTATCCACCACTTTGTGTCTGCCTAATGCAATTCACAGTGGGAAGATAGGCATTTTGCCTGCACCATAATGACTTCTGAAAAGGCAGATACCTTGGGCTGTCTTGCATTATTTTTATTTTATAATTAATCATTAGCTGATGCCCTTTATAAAATAAAAATCAGGCACAGCAGCTGAGTTATTCGCCTTTGAAAAGCTGTTACTATGCACACAACATGCCTTTCTTCTTGTCACTAATAATATCACAAAGATGTAAGGAGGAAAAATGCTACACTGACATTTTGTCATGTCCAGTACAAATGAAAGTGCCATAAACACTGGAAAAACATATGAATAGGAAGAGCTTCATTGGCAAATAATTCCAGTGGGCCATCATGACTAATGATATTGAATCCATTGTTCGTATGCAGGGATAGAAGCTTAGCAAAAGTTTCAATACAACTGTCAAGCCATGTTTTAAATTTGGTTCTCTTTACAAGTCATCTATTTAGTTCCACATTTTTCTTATTTTTTTCTTCCTCGAAGAGCAATGGAAAAAGAGAAAGAACCCATTAGTGGATAAATACCTGTAGCAAGACCTGAGCCACTAAAAGCATCTGCCATTTTGACCCAGTAAATATATGTAAAACCATACTGTGCATGAGAGTTGATGCAAGTTCTGCCTCGATAAGCTATGCTGACCCTAAGAGAAATATTAGCATTTAAAATGCATAGGAGAGACACTAATCTGAAATCCACACCATATGACAATGTATGAGCTCCCACTGCAGTCAGATTACATTCCATTGCATTTCAATGCAGTCCATTACATTCAGTAAGCTGTCCCCAAAGATGGCCAGGAGTTGGGTGAAGAAGAGAAGCTGACAATTTGGGTAGTCATCCTATAGAGAATGACTGTGCAGCTGAATCCTTTGGGATTTGGGAAGGAAGCTTTTGAGGTAGACAGAGCAGAAAAAAGTGATGTAGATGGGTCACAGGATTTGGGAGCCTCCATAAAGGAGAAGGTCTCTACTCCTTCAGAAGGTGAAGGCCAGCAAGATGCTGAGTGCAAGGTACAAAGCTTTAGGAGTTATTCCCTCCCTAGGGTCTTTTTCTGCTGTTTTCAAACATGTGTGGTATGGACACCTACCCCACTTCTAGCTCCCTTTTCTGAATGGGTGACTGCCACCCTCACTGCCAGGCAGGGGTGAGCTCCCTCCACCATTCTCCCTCTCCCCCAGGAGGCCCCTCTGCCTTCTTGTTTGTCTGCTGCTCAGGGCAGGGGATGTGGCCAAGCTGCTATCATTCCTGGGGGTGCAAGAAGAGACTGGGAAACCACAAAGTGGCATTTTGCATCCCTGCTTTGCCATGTGCTGGCAAGGTACTGATCTCCTCCTTGCTCGTCTGGTCCTTGGTGTTTTATGACTTATTCTCAAGTGTTTCTTTTAGATGAGTGACACACAAATGAGTGTTTGTGATGGACAGAGCAGCAGAGGAAACTCAAAGAATTTATTATTAATTATCTGTCTGCACGCACACACACACAAAATCCTGAAAGTGTGTCTGTTAAACTTTAAAATAGTCTATTTCTCTGACAACATTCTGTATTGTTAAATAAGATCAAAGTGTGATTGATGATCTGCAGATCCAGATCTAGGCTTCTAAACTATCCAACTGCATCTACAATCCTGTCATGAGAACACCCTGTCATCATATGCCACATCTTTTCAAGGCAGCTCACATATCTCTAAAGTGCTCCTTAGTAATTAAACAACTTTATCACAGTTATAACAAATGTCACTCATAATGTTAATGAAAGCATTAGACTAGTGTTTCAAGTAAGCTTATCAGGGGATGTTAGTGTATTTTGGATTGTTTTATTTTATTTATTTATTTTTTAATTAGAAGTCTAATATTTGAATATAGAATATGGGGGTTTTTAAGAGTTACTTAGTATTTGAATATTTTTTCCCAGCAGTGGAAGATTTCATTTTTTTTCAGATTTTTTTTTTAAACATAATGAGTTGAAAAGTCAATTAGCAAATTAATATGTGAAAAAGATGGATGGAGAGAAGTAGAACATCCATATATATCATTAGTGGTAAGTCTAACAGCCATCAAGTTTGCCTATATTCACCTATCTTGTGCTCTGTACTATTTATTCATCTGAAACACATTTGAAAATCAATCAGAAGAAGATAACATAATGTACATTAGTCCTGTTTAGTGTAACTAGAAATCAGAACTGAGTAAAATACTTGTAGGACCAGAGTTCCCCAGCATTGGTGGCTGCTTCTGTACATGAAGTGTTTCCCGTAAAAACATTAATCAAATTGTTCAAGAGTAGTTAGAATCTACTCCCAGAGCATCTTTAGTTTATTATTCTGACTGTGGACGTAATAAATATTTTATATTTTAAACTCTGTCTGCAAATGATTGAAAGAAGGAAAAGAAAAAAAGAAGAAGGAAGGACTAGGAAAGAAAAAAAAAAAAAAAAGCAAAGAAGCAATCTAAAGAGAGAAATAGGAAACACCAAGGTGCGTTTATTGCAGGATTTACCTTATAATGAAACTTTATGCCCATGTCAAGAGAAGGAGAAAAACACAATGTGTCCTGGCACAAGTACAACTGAGGCCAAATAGCGATGATGCTGTCCAGCATGTCCTTTTATGGTTTAGTAGGTCACAAAGTAAAATTTGTGAAGTTACAAACTTTATCCTTGGTTTTGAACTGCATTTGACTTCATGTAGCTTAGCTCAGGGCAATAGAATTGTTTGTGTTATATATGGAGTAGTAATTCGTGTGGAGAAAGTGGTTGATTTTAATAAAGAAGGGGGAGATTTGGGAATGTGGCCATGGTGGTTAGAAAGCCCCGTGGTTGAGATAACATTAGACTCTTAACGACGAGGCCATCAGGAATATAAAAGAGTTTAGAGGGAACAAAGAAGGGTGATTCAGGAGACTCCATGCAGTCTCCAGTTTCTTGTGGTTTCTTGTTCTCCAGATGGTTCTCTTGTTCTCCAGCCCTTAAGGCCTGGATGTTTCTGGGTGTTTGCTGTTGTTGTTACATTCAAAGTTGTTTGAACAACGAAAGAAGCTCAAAGAAGCTCGTACTGAAAGTCGGTGGAAATAGGCGCACTGAACCTGGAGAGAAGCTTGAGCTGAGAGAAGCAGACCCGTGCACACAACTGCCTCTCGCTGGTAAGCACATTATGTGGAATCATACTTCCTTAGGAACAAAGACTGTCCTGGTAACCTTACAGCTAATTCTCCTTATTAACAATTGGACAGTTTATGAGCCTGAAATATGGGACCAAACTGAGATCAAGGTGTGGGACTCTGCTACGAAAAACAACAAGGTTGCAGTGGGATTGCTTGGCTCCTGGAGAGAAGTCTTTGAGGCCTTAAAGAGCCATGTGGAGCCACAATCACAAACGTGTGGCTTGCCAGATAGTAAGGGAGCTGCGGGCTCCTTTACTGATCCAACTGCTGCGCCATGGGCCCCTAGGCTGCTACAGCCATCGAAGGCTTTTGCTGTTACTCCCCCTGCTGACCTGGACGTGACTTTTGACCCAGGCCCTATTGGCCTTGAAAAGGAGATGGATATGTTTTTCTTCAATCTGGGAAGAACGGGATACATAAGGCCTGTAGACCGATTTGCTTGACAACTTAAAGCGAGACATATTGTTCAAAAGGAATGGAAAATGGAGACTTGTTAGTAATCAAGAAAAGGAATGAAAAATGGAGACTGTTAAGTCATGGAACTTAAAATATTTGTTACCTTTTATAATCATGAATATGTATAGGCGTACTCAATTTTAGTAAGTTATGGAACGTAAAGGATTGTTTGTTACCTTTCCTGATTGTACGTATGTATAGGCATACTTGGGTTTAGTATGTAAAGCAATGTTCTGTATATTTGGAATGTTTGATGTTCGTGTGTGCGTATTGGTAGACTCCCTGCACACCCAGCACTGTTTTCTTGCCTTTTATACCTTTTAGAAATATTTGTTTTATTACAAAATTCAGATTGAGTTGAGACTTCATTTATAACATTTGTGATATCCATATTTTTCATCTGTAGAGTGTTTAGCTGGGATATTGTCATTACTATTAGATGTTGCATGAAGGATGATAGACTGACTTCTATCTGCATAGT